AAAATGATAAGCGACGAAGAGGACGAGGGAGACGAGGGACGAGAGACGAGGTCCATGTGATAGTTTCGGCTAACGAGGTGAACAGCACAGCACAGCACTTAGACAGAACGAAATTTGCTGACCCAACGATAGCCATTACGCATTTGTCTGCACCTGTTTGCGATGGGCTGGAGGTGAGCGTAGTAAGTCGTAGGCGAGTCGTCGACCAATTCTTAGGCGGTGTGTCTTCGGAGGAAGTTTCATGCGGGATGAGGCGTTGATTTGAAACAATAACTCAATGAAATAAATACGTAATTTTTTAAAAAAAATTTTTAATTAGTTAAAATACGTCGAAACGGATTGACGACTACTCGCCCAGAGTTCAATCTGGAACGATATGCGCTATGATCTAGCATTTCATGGTGGTGAGGGGAGCGCTATGAAAGGCCAAGTTTGGTGCATTTGTCTCCTTGTCGCGATGTCGAACCTTACTGGAACCGAATTCGTGGTTTTATCAGACTGTGCAAAGGCATATTTATTTTGTTTTCAGGTACAAAAATAGCCCCACGGAGAAGCTAATAATACTCAAGATTAAGTATTGAACTGCTAATGGTGCCGCAGCGGTAACCAGGATTAGTTCATCGGTAATCGGTCTCTTCTCGTCTATTCGTTTTGCTAACGGCCTGTTCCACAACCATGGCCTCCATTGTCTTACTCTTCCTCCTCCTCTTTCCCTCTTTTCGATTTACCTAGCTGGATTGTCAGTAGCTAACACGGTTCTTAACGATATAATGTACTGCCACCCGCCGCTGAACTTTATCGTCAACTCGGCTTATGCAGTCTGTATCTTCCTCTATCTTGTTTTTGAGTTTTCTTCCAGTTTCTCCGATGCAAGTGTCACCACAAGTGCGTACAGTATCCTTTCACTCTGATTCTTTTGGTAGAGAATTACCGACCGAGGCTACTGCCGAAGTTGTCCGATATATAAACGCTTCGGTTATCATTGATTCTTCTCAGCTTCCGGTCAACCGTTCATAC